CTCATTCCAGCTGCTACCTGCTCCTCATTAGGGCATTTCACAACCCTAGCCAGCTGCCCGGTAGCAAACGCGACGTCCGGTCGGGTGTTTACCGCCGCATACATGAGGCTGCCCACCAACGAGTGAAATCGGCGCCTCTCCTCTTCACCAACGCTCTCCTCCTCTGGTCCCTTCACACACTTGAACCCAGAGGGAAAGGGTGTAGCCACATGGCCTTCACTCTGCCCAAAGTTGGCAGCCAATGCCTCCAGGTACTTTCGTTGATGCACCCGCATGCACCGCTTCTCCACATCTCGTTCGATGTGGAGCCCAAGGTAGAAGCTCACGTCACCAAGGGCCTTGCACTTGAACTTGTCTTGAAGCTTCAGCATCACCTCCTTCACAAGGTCAGAAGAGGGTGAGAAAATGAGGATGTCATCCACATAAACCACCATGAAACTCCTCTGCTCCCCCTCGCCAAGCATGAACAAGGAGTGATCGGCCGTTGAGGGAGTGAAGCCGATCCCCTCCAACACTTCGCGCAGCTTCATGTACCATTGCCTAGGGGCCTGCTTCAGCCCATAGAGGGCCTTCTTCAGCTTCCACACTCTGCCACTACCATCATCAAACCCCTCTGGCTGCGCCATAAAAATCTCCTCCTCAAGGATGCCGTTAAGGAATGCCGTTACGATGTCCATTTGCTTTACTACCCATCCTTTGATGGCGGCTCCCGCGAATAGGGTTCGCAGCGTCGTCGGCTTCACCACAGGGGCAAACAGCTCCTTGAAGTCCACCTTCTCCTTCTGCTGGTACCCCTTGGCTACAAGCCTAGACTTGTAGCGCTCGATCTTGCCGTCGGCATCCGACTTGATTTTGAAGAGCCACTTGGACGTTATCGCCGTACGCCCCTCCGGTAGCTCCACCAATTCAAACGTGTCATTCTCCTCAATGCTCTTCAGCTCACTCTCCATGGCCTTCTTCCACTCCTCAGCATCACTACTCTCCAAAGCCTCCTTGAGAGTTGCTGGTTCTCCCGGCATCTCCACCGGAGAGAAGAACGCGAAGGCACACTCCTCGTAGTCACTCTCCTCGTCGTCTCCGACCATCATTGCCGCTCCGGCCAGGGCTGTCTTGCCCTGCTTTCCCGGCGCATCATAGGTCAGCCTATTAGGGGGTTGAACTCTCCTCTTCCCCCTTCCTTCCTCCTCAGCTGCAGGGACTTGAAGGCCTTGGCGTTGCTGCGGTGTGGCTCGAATCCGTGGAGCACTCGTAGTACGGGAAGGGAGTGACGGTGCACGCTCGCTCACTTGCTGCACCTCCTCCTCTTCTTCCTCTGCATCATTGGCCTCCTCTCCCCCATTCACAAGGGAGGATTGCCTTGTGGTTGTGCTGCCGCTGCTCAGCTCCAAAGGCAGCTCCACATGCTCCAAACCGGAACTCTTCACCTCCCCAAACCGCACGCCTATCTTCGCCTCATTCTCCGCCTTCCAATCCTTGTACATGAAGTTCTCCATGAACTTGCAGTCCCTGCTCACCAAGAACTTCTTGGTGAATGGGTCCCAAAGAAGCCATCCCTTGCTGTTTTGAGCCATGCCCAAGTGCACGGCCCACACCGCCTTGGCACCAAGCTTGTTGTGCCGAAGATGCTTAGGCACGAGCGCCATGCACATGCACCCGAACACCCGAAGCATATCCACCTTTGGCTTCCTTCCTAGCCACTCCACATAGGGCACCCATTTGTCTGCTCCCACACGAGTCAAGGCTCTGTTCTTGGCCACACACGCGCTCCGCACCGCATCAGGCCAGAAATAGTCGGGTAGCCCGGCTTCAATGAGCAACCCGCGTGCCGCCTCCGTGATTGTGCGGTTCGCTCGCTCGGCGATGCCGTTCATTGCAGGGGAGTATGGCATGGTGAGGGAGTGCCGAATACCATTCTTCTTCAGCCACAACCCAAACTCCTTGCTCAGGAACTCTCCCCCTCGATCGGTGCGGATTGACTTGACTAGACGGTCTTGTTGCCGCTCCACCATCGGGAACCAATCCGTCTTCAACGTTTCAGCCACGTCGCTCTTCTTGGCCAGCACGTACACCCAAGTCATGCGGGTGTAGACGTCGACAATGGTGAAAAAATACTCAGCTCCAGCAGCTCCAAGCTTCAGGGGGCCCACCACATCCATCACCACCTCATCAAGCGGTGCCTTTGCCGTTGCCTCCGAACTAGGGAACGGAAACCGGGTGAACTTGGCTTGAATGCACGTCGGGCAGCCAAGCACCTCATCGGGCTCCCCCTTCACACGTATGCCAGCAACCATCTCATTCTTCACTAGCTGCTGCAAGATGGGCAGGGCCACATGCCCCATGCGCCGATGCAAGGTGAGCCAATCACACTCCCCCGTAGCCGAAGTTGGATTGGAGAATGCCGCGCTCGCAATAGCGCCCCACATACTCTCTCCGTAGTCCTCCTCCGCTGCTGCCTCTGGGTTCTCCTCACCCTTTTGCTGCTCCTTGGTTGCTGCACCACTCTCCTTAGGTTCACTGAACTTGCTGGTCCCTCCAGGTTTGCTCTTCTTGAGCTCATTCTCCTTAGCGCGACCGTTCGCGCCATCGTCGCTACCGACCGCTCCATCCTTGGTGCTGATGCTTGCTGCCACTTGCCTCTCCTTAGGCATAGGGACCACTGGGATCTGCCACATCTCGTTGTAGACATCCCTGTCCTCATGAAGGTCCCAAAGAATTCGATCGCCAAGCCTTGCGGTGTAGGTCTTGGCTCCCTTCGAGTTCGTGTCCATGCCGGCCTTTGCCAACCGCCGCACGGAAATCAGGTTTGCAGCAAGGCTGGGCACCCAAAGCACGTTCTTGAGGCCCACCATCTTCCCATCAGCACCCTTGAACATGGCCTTGCCCATGCCTTTCACCTCTGCTCGCTGCCCCAAAGCCGATGTGACATGCTTCACCGGTGACGGCTCGAGTTCGGTGAGCAAGTCCGGGCGAGGTGTCATGCTATAGGTAGCGCCACTATCAATCACCCAATAGTCCAGGGGGTGTAGGGTCACCTTCCCCACAGCTGCTGGCTCCTCAAAGCCTTCATCCTTCTCTGGACCAGCCGGTACTTGCGTCGACACGAAGTAGAATAGACCCGGGTATCGATCGTCGCTCGGGTCCTTGTCGTTGTCTCCGCTCTTCATGTTTGCAGCTCCGCCACCGCGACCGCCACGGCCTCCACGGCTTCGTCCTCTCCCTCCTCCTGCTCATCTACCCTCTTGGCCTTGAGCAGTGGTCCAACCATCAGGGAGTTTGTAGTAGTCGCGCCACATGTGTCCGCTCTTGTGGCAATAGTGACACTCGCCGTCGAATCGGCCGCGACCGCGTCCGTAGCTCTTGTCGTCGCTGCCGTAACCGCCACTCCTGTGGCCTCCGCCGAAGTTGCTGCCACCAAACCTTCCTCCCACTCGTCCTCTGCCTCTTCCTCGACCATATCCACGGCCGATGCTCGCTGCCCCAGCGCCATCCGCACTCGCCAACTCACGGCGGCGGAAATCCTCTTGAAGGATAGCTCGCTTCACGTCTTCAAGCGAGAGGCGGGGCAAGTCGCGATTAAGGTTGATGATGAGCGAGGACCATGACTCTGGGAGTAAGGCCAGCAACTTGGTCTTCTTTTGGAGCTCACTGTAGTTCAAATCAGCTCCCTCAAGCCGCGTCAACAAGTCGAAGAATTTCTGCACCCCTTCTTCAACCGCTTCGTCTTCTTCAATTCGTAGTGCCGCCATTTGCCGTTCCAACACCACCGCTACCGCCGCTGTTGCAGGAGCATGTACACCCTTGAGAGCAGCCCATGCCTTTGGTCCTTTCTCTGGTTCACGCTGGAATGGCTTGATGTGACGGATCTGACTGCTCCCCAACGCTTGCCCAAGTAAGAGATAGCCTTGTGCGCTCTTCCGCACCCACGGGCTCTTCTCCGGGTCATTCTCGGGGCGCTTCTCCGTTCCTTCCATCACCTCCAGCAAGTCATAGTGGTCAAAGATGTTCTCCATCTTGAAGGACCATTCAGCAAAGTTGTCACCGTTGAACTTGTCAAGCCCAAACACCCTAGGCTCATCCCTAGGTGGGCCAAGACTTGGTTGCATGGGCGCCATGGCTGAATCACGGGGTTGGCCTTGAGCTTGAGCTTCTCCACTGCCACCAGCACCTCTGCCACCCCTTTCCTCAGGTCCAGACATTGTCGAAACTGCTCCAAGGGGCTCTGATACCACTTGTTATAGTCACAATAGGCTTGAATGTGCCTAAAACGAAAGATAGAGAGCACAGACGGATTTCTGCACAGCGGCTTCAAACGTTGATAGCGTTCTGCTCACAGCTGCAAATGACCTGATTCAAATTGGATCTGGAGCGTCTTCACGTCGTCTACAATTAGCAATTTAGATTGCACGATTTGATAAAGAATTGACGACACAGCGTCGGTTTGAACGAACGGTACTATGGCAGCCACTATAGTCTTAGAACACAAGATAGGACGAGTTACGAGTTGGGAATGACTCCCAGCTCCTACAAACCCCAAGAGCCGAGGTACAGTGATGTGGAACAGTGCCACACTGTCCCCAACCACGAAGGGTCTCGAAACTACCCTTCACTAGGGCCTACACCAAGTGAAATGTTACACTACACAAAATAATGTAAATATCTTCAATATCTTGAGGTGTACCCTTTTTGGCGAGCTTCGAAATCACTTGAGGCTTGACACCAAGGCTCGGGCTCTTCATCACAAACTCATCCTTGAGTTCTTGATGGGTCTGCTGCACACACCTGCGACACGCCGAACGTTCGACACAGGACAAAATAGAAACCGCGCACGACAAAATAGAAACCGCGCGCGAGACACAAACGACCGCGTAACACGCGTCTAGCGATAACTCGCTATTGACTCGACACACACACTCGACATCATGACTCAACATTCACACACAATTATAAGCATGAAATATATATTATCCCATGCCCTCATACCATTCCATACACACACACATTCACGCACACGGACAACAAGCCGAGTGCAAACCGTAGGGTTGCACCAACAGTATGGGGGATGGAAAGGAGGGAGAAGTATGGGGGATGGAAAGGAGGGAGAAGTATGGGGGATGAAAAAGAGGAAGTATGGGGGATGGAAAGGAGGGAGAAGTATGGGGGATGGAAAGGAGGGAGAAGTATGGGGGATGGAAAGGAGGGAGAAGTATGGGGGATGGAAAGGAGGAAGTATGGGGGATGGAAAGGAGGAAGTATGGGGGATGGAAAGGAGGGAGAAGTATGGGGGATGGAAAGGAGGAAGTATGGGGGATGGAAAGGAGGAAGTATGGGGGATGGAAAGGAGGAACTATGGGGGATGGAAAGGAGGGAGAAGTATGGGGGATGGAAAGGAGGAAGTATGGGGGATGGAAAGGAGGAAGTATGGGGGATGGAAAGGAGGAAGTATGGGGGATGGAAAGGAGGGAGAAGTATGGGGGATGGAAAGGAGGAAGTATGGGGGATGGAAAGGAGGAAGTATGGGGGATGGAAAGGAGGAAGTATGGGGGATGGAAAGGAGGGAGAAGTATGGGGGATGGAAAGGAGGAAGTATGGGGGATGGAAAGGAGGAAGTATGGGGGATGGAAAGGAGGAAGTATGGGGGATGGAAAGGAGGAAGTATGGGGGATGGAAAGGAGGAAGTATGGGGGATGGAAAGGAGGAAGTATGGGGGATGGAAAGGAGGAAGTATGGGGGATGGAAAGGAGGAAGTATGGGGGATGGAAAGGAGGAAGTATGGGGGATGGAAAGGAGGAAGTATGGGGGATGGAAAGGAGGAAGTATGGGGGATGGAAAGGAGGAAGTATGGGGGATGGAAAGGAGGAAGTATGGGGGATGGAAAGGAGGAAGTATGGGGGATGGAAAGGAGGAAGTATGGGGGATGGAAAGGAGGAAGTATGGGGGATGGAAAGGAGGAAGTATGGGGGATGGAAAGGAGGAAGTATGGGGGATGGAAAGGAGGAAGTATGGGGGATGGAAAGGAGGAAGTATGGGGGATGGAAAGGAGGGAGAAGTATGGGGGATGGAAAGGAGGAAGTATGGGGGATGGAAAGGAGGAAGTATGGGGGATGGAAAGGAGGAAGTATGGGGGATGGAAAGGAGGAAGTATGGGGGATGGAAAGGAGGAAGTATGGGGGATGGAAAGGAGGAAGTATGGGGGATGGAAAGGAGGAAGTATGGGGGATGGAAAGGAGGGAGAAGTATGGGGGATGGAAAGGAGGAAGTATGGGGGATGGAAAGGAGGAAGTATGGGGGATGGAAAGGAGGAAGTATGGGGGATGGAAAGGAGGGAGAAGTATGGGGGATGGAAAGGAGGAAGTATGGGGGATGGAAAGGAGGAAGTATGGGGGATGGAAAGGAGGAAGTATGGGGGATGGAAAGGAGGAAGTATGGGGGATGGAAAGGAGGAAGTATGGGGGATGGAAAGGAGGGAGAAGTATGGGGGATGGAAAGGAGGAAGTATGGGGGATGGAAAGGAGGAAGTATGGGGGATGGAAAGGAGGGAGAAGTATGGGGGATGGAAAGGAGGAAGTATGGGGGATGGAAAGGAGGAAGTATGGGGGATGGAAAGGAGGAAATATGGGGGATGGAAAGGAGGGAGAAGTATGGGGGATGGAAAGGAGGAAGTATGGGGGATGGAAAGGAGGAAGTATGGGGGATGGAAAGGAGGAAGTATGGGGGATGGAAAGGAGGAAGTATGGGGGATGGAAAGGAGGAAGTATGGGGGATGGAAAGGAGGAAGTATGGGGGATGGAAAGAGGAAGTATGGGGGATGGAAAGGAGGAAGTATGGGGGATGGAAAGGAGGAAGTATGGGGGATGGAAAGGAGGAAGTATGGGGGATGGAAAGGAGGAAGTATGGGGGATGGAAAGGAGGAAGTATGGGGGATGGAAAGGAGGAAGTATGGGGGATGGAAAGGAGGAAGTATGGGGGATGGAAAGGAGGAAGTATGGGGGATGGAAAGGAGGAAGTATGGGGGATGGAAAGGAGGAAGTATGGGGGATGGAAAGGAGGAAGTATGGGGGATGGAAAGGAGGAAGTATGGGGGATGGAAAGGAGGAAGTATGGGGGATGGAAAGGAGGAAGTATGGGGGATGGAAAGGAGGAAGTATGGGGGATGGAAAGGAGGAAGTATGGGGGATGGAAAGGAGGAAGTATGGGGGATGGAAAAGAGGAAGTATGGGGGATGGAAAGGAGGAAGTATGGGGGATGGAAAGGAGGAAGTATGGGGGATGGAAAGGAGGAAGTATGGGGGATGGAAAGGAGGAAGTATGGGGGATGGAAAGGAGGAAGTATGGGGGATGGAAAGGAGGAAGTATGGGGGATGGAAAGGAGGAAGTATGGGGGATGGAAAGGAGGAAGTATGGGGGATGGAAAGGAGGAAGTATGGGGGATGGAAAGGAGGGAGAAGTATGGGGGATGGAAAGGAGGAAGTATGGGGGATGCAAAGGAGGAAGTATGGGGGATGCAAAGGAGGAAGTATGGGGGATGGAAAGGAGGGAGAAGTATGGGGGATGGAAAGGAGGGAGAAGTATGGGGGATGGAAAGGAGGGAGTATGGGGGATGGAAAGGAGGGAGAAGTATGGGGGATGGAAAGGAGGGAGAAGTATGGGGGATGGAAAGGAGGGAGAAGTATGGGGGATGGAAAGGAGGAAGTATGGGGGATGCAAAGGAGGAAGTATGGGGGATGGAAAGGAGGAAGTATGGGGGATGGAAAGGAGGGAGAAGTATGGGGGATGGAAAGGAGGAAGTATGGGAGATGGAAAGGAGGGAGAAGTATGGGGGATGGAAAGGAGGGAGAAGTATGGGGGATGGAAAGGAGGAAGTATGGGGGATGGAAAGGAGGGAGAAGTATGGGGGATGGAAAGGAGGGAGAAGTATGGGGGATGGAAAGGAGGGAGAAGTATGGGGGATGGAAAGGAGGGAGAAGTATGGGGGATGGAAAGGAGGGAGTATGGGGGATGGAAAGGAGGAAGTATGGGGGATGGAAAGGAGGAAGTATGGGGGATGGAAAGGAGGAAGTATGGGGGATGGAAAGGAGGAAGTATGGGGGATGGAAAGGAGGAAGTATGGGGGATGGAAAGGAGGAAGTATGGGGGATGGAAAGGAGGAAGTATGGGGGATGGAAAGGAGGAAGTATGGGGGATGGAAAGGAGGAAGTATGGGGGATGGAAAGGAGGAAGTATGGGGGATGGAAAGGAGGAAGAAGTATGGGGGATGGAAAGGAGGAAGTATGGGGGATGGAAAGGAGGAAGTATGGGGGATGGAAAGGAGGAAGTATGGGGGATGGAAAGGAGGAAGTATGGGGGATGGAAAGGAGGGAGAAGTATGGGGGATGGAAAGGAGGGAGAAGTATGGGGGATGGAAAGGAGGAAGTATGGGGGATGGAAAGGAGGGAGAAGTATGGGGGATGGAAAGGAGGGAGAAGTATGGGGGATGGAAAGGAGGAAGTATGGGGGATGGAAAGGAGGAAGTATGGGGGATGGAAAGGAGGGAGAAGTATGGGGGATGGAAAGGAGGAAGTATGGGGGATGGAAAGGAGGAAGTATGGGGGATGGAAAGGAGGAAATATGGGGGATGGAAAGGAGGGAGAAGTATGGGGGATGGAAAGGAGGAAGTATGGGGGATGGAAAGGAGGAAGTATGGGGGATGGAAAGGAGGAAGTATGGGGGATGGAAAGGAGGAAGTATGGGGGATGGAAAGGAGGAAGTATGGGGGATGGAAAGGAGGGAGAAGTATGGGGGATGGAAAGGAGGGAGAAGTATGGGGGATGGAAAGGAGGGAGAAGTATGGGGGATGGAAAGGAGGAAGTATGGGGGATGCAAAGGAGGAAGTATGGGGGATGGAAAGGAGGAAGTATGGGGGATGGAAAGGAGGGAGAAGTATGGGGGATGGAAAGGAGGAAGTATGGGAGATGGAAAGGAGGGAGAAGTATGGGGGATGGAAAGGAGGGAGAAGTATGGGGGATGGAAAGGAGGAAGTATGGGGGATGGAAAGGAGGGAGAAGTATGGGGGATGGAAAGGAGGGAGAAGTATGGGGGATGGAAAGGAGGGAGAAGTATGGGGGATGGAAAGGAGGGAGAAGTATGGGGGATGGAAAGGAGGGAGTATGGGGGATGGAAAGGAGGAAGTATGGGGGATGGAAAGGAGGAAGTATGGGGGATGGAAAGGAGGAAGTATGGGGGATGGAAAGGAGGAAGTATGGGGGATGGAAAGGAGGAAGTATGGGGGATGGAAAGGAGGAAGTATGGGGGATGGAAAGGAGGAAGTATGGGGGATGGAAAGGAGGAAGTATGGGGGATGGAAAGGAGGAAGTATGGGGGATGGAAAGGAGGAAGTATGGGGGATGGAAAAGAGGAAGTATGGGGGATGGAAAGGAGGAAGTATGGGGGATGGAAAGGAGGAAGTATGGGGGATGGAAAGGAGGAAGTATGGGGGATGGAAAGGAGGAAGTATGGGGGATGGAAAGGAGGAAGTATGGGGGATGGAAAGGAGGAAGTATGGGGGATGGAAAGGAGGAAGTATGGGGGATGGAAAGGAGGAAGTATGGGGGATGGAAAGGAGGAAGTATGGGGGATGGAAAGGAGGGAGAAGTATGGGGGATGGAAAGGAGGAAGTATGGGGGATGCAAAGGAGGAAGTATGGGGGATGCAAAGGAGGAAGTATGGGGGATGGAAAGGAGGGAGAAGTATGGGGGATGGAAAGGAGGGAGAAGTATGGGGGATGGAAAGGAGGGAGTATGGGGGATGGAAAGGAGGGAGAAGTATGGGGGATGGAAAGGAGGGAGAAGTATGGGGGATGGAAAGGAGGGAGAAGTATGGGGGATGGAAAGGAGGAAGTATGGGGGATGCAAAGGAGGAAGTATGGGGGATGGAAAGGAGGAAGTATGGGGGATGGAAAGGAGGGAGAAGTATGGGGGATGGAAAGGAGGAAGTATGGGAGATGGAAAGGAGGGAGAAGTATGGGGGATGGAAAGGAGGGAGAAGTATGGGGGATGGAAAGGAGGAAGTATGGGGGATGGAAAGGAGGGAGAAGTATGGGGGATGGAAAGGAGGGAGAAGTATGGGGGATGGAAAGGAGGGAGAAGTATGGGGGATGGAAAGGAGGGAGAAGTATGGGGGATGGAAAGGAGGGAGTATGGGGGATGGAAAGGAGGAAGTATGGGGGATGGAAAGGAGGAAGTATGGGGGATGGAAAGGAGGAAGTATGGGGGATGGAAAGGAGGAAGTATGGGGGATGGAAAGGAGGAAGTATGGGGGATGGAAAGGAGGAAGTATGGGGGATGGAAAGGAGGAAGTATGGGGGATGGAAAGGAGGAAGTATGGGGGATGGAAAGGAGGAAGTATGGGGGATGGAAAGGAGGAAGTATGGGGGATGGAAAGGAGGAAGAAGTATGGGGGATGGAAAGGAGGAAGTATGGGGGATGGAAAGGAGGAAGTATGGGGGATGGAAAGGAGGAAGTATGGGGGATGGAAAGGAGGAAGTATGGGGGATGGAAAGGAGGGAGAAGTATGGGGGATGGAAAGGAGGGAGAAGTATGGGGGATGGAAAGGAGGAAGTATGGGGGATGGAAAGGAGGGAGAAGTATGGGGGATGGAAAGGAGGGAGAAGTATGGGGGATGGAAAGGAGGAAGTATGGGGGATGGAAAGGAGGAAGTATGGGGGATGGAAAGGAGGGAGAAGTATGGGGGATGGAAAGGAGGAAGTATGGGGGATGGAAAGGAGGAAGTATGGGGGATGGAAAGGAGGAAATATGGGGGATGGAAAGGAGGGAGAAGTATGGGGGATGGAAAGGAGGAAGTATGGGGGATGGAAAGGAGGAAGTATGGGGGATGGAAAGGAGGAAGTATGGGGGATGGAAAGGAGGAAGTATGGGGGATGGAAAGGAGGAAGTATGGGGGATGGAAAGGAGGAAGTATGGGGGATGGAAAGGAGGAAGTATGGGGGATGGAAAGGAGGAAGTATGGGGGATGGAAAGGAGGGAGTATGGGGGATGGAAAGGAGGAAGTATGGGGGATGGAAAGGAGGAAGTATGGGGGATGGAAAGGAGGAAGTATGGGGGATGGAAAGGAGGAAGTATGGGGGATGGAAAGGAGGAAGTATGGGGGATGGAAAGAAGGAGGAAGTATGGGGGATGGGAAGGAGGGAGTATGGGGGATGGAAAGGAGGGAGTATGGGGGATGGGAAGGAGGGAGTATGGGGGATGGAAAGGAGGGAGTATGGGGGATGGAAAGGAGGGAGTATGGGGGATGGAAAGGAGGAAGTATGGGGGATGGAAAGGAGGAAGTATGGGGGATGGAAAGGAGGAAGTATGGGGGATGGAAAGGAGGAAGTATGGGGGATGGAAAGGAGGAAGTATGGGGGATGGAAAGGAGGAAGTATGGGGGATGGAAAGGAGGAAGTATGGGGGATGGAAAGGAGGAAGTATGGGGGATGGAAAGGAGGAAGTATGGGGGATGGAAAGGAGGAAGTATGGGGGATGGAAAGGAGGAAGTATGGGGGATGGAAAGGAGGAAGTATGGGGGATGGAAAGGAGGAAGTATGGGGGATGGAAAGGAGGAAGTATGGGGGATGGAAAGGAGGGAGAAGTATGGGGGATGGAAAGGAGGAAGTATGGGGGATGGAAAGGAGGAAGTATGGGGGATGGAAAGGAGGGAGAAGTATGGGGGATGGAAAGGAGGGAGAAGTATGGGGGATGGAAAGGAGGGAGAAGTATGGGGGATGGAAAGGAGGGAGAAGTATGGGGGATGGAAAGGAGGGAGAAGTATGAGGGATGGAAAGGAGGGAGAAGAATGGGGGATGGAAAGGAGGGAGAAGTATGGGGGATGGAAAGGAGGGAGAAGTATGGGGGATGGAAAGGAGGGAGAAGTATGGGGGATGGAAAGGAGGGAGAAGTATGGGGGATGGAAAGGAGGGAGAAGTATGGGGGATGGAAAGGAGGGAGAAGTATGGGGGATGGAAAGAAGGGAGAAGAATGGTGGATGGAAAGGAGGGAGAAGAGAAGTTAAGCCATGAGAGGCTTGAAATTTGAGGCGCCTAAAATGCGAGACAAGATGGTTTGAGTCAGGATGGATTGATTCCTAGTTCAATTGAATAATTAACCACGTTAGACGCATTTAAGCCATCATCCCTGCCCCATGCTTGAAGTATCATTCCCTTGACGTATCTATGGTTTACCTTGAAGTAGCGAATGAGGTCGCATGACTGTGCCCCCAGTGACCCTGCGTAGATGACTTCTCCTCCCCGCTGCATCAGCAGCAGCTGCAGGGCGGTGAGAGGTAGGAGGAGGGTAGGAAGTGAGGAAGAAGTGGGTATGAGGTGGGTGGGATGAGGGTATGGGATGGGAAGCTAGGGCAAGAAGCAACATGGTTCCTATAGCGCATATGTCAATCACCTCTCCTATACGCTGCATTAGCCACAAACGCAAGGCATAGTCTTGCGAGAGAGAGAGGTAGATTATTTTGCGTGGAGTTCATTTTCGGCGGCTGAGAGAGCGAGAGAGAGAGAGAGGGAATCCCTTAGCCCTCTGCCCTCTGCCCCATCCCTCTGCCCTCTGCCCTCCAGAGCTATTTAAGGGCTGTTCTTCTCTCCTTCTCCTCATTATTTTGCGTGGAGTTCATTTTCGGCGGCTGAGAGAGCGCGAGAGAGAGAGAGGGAATCCCTTAGCCCTCTGCCCTCTGCCCCATCCCTCTGCCCTCTGCCCTCCAGAGCTATTTAAGGGCTGTTCTTCTCTCCTTCTCCTCATTATTTTGCGTGGAGTTCATTTTCGGCGGCTCGCGCCGGCGGCCTCCGGCCGCCGCCGCTCGCTTGCGCGGCCTTCGGCCGCGCGCTCCTGGTGGCAAGGAACAAGGCCCTGAATTGCTATACCGGGGAATACACACACGCAAAGGAAGCAAGGGAGCAGAGCTTCAAACAAGAGAAGACGGCATGCAGTTCTACACTAGGCGAAGGCCTACATCGTGTACGGCTCCGCCCCTTCCACCTCAAGCATCGAGCGCATGCACGCCGATACTGCAAGAAGGAGATGTGCCGACGACTGAAGCGTGTCCACGGGGGTCCCGGCTTGAGCAGCCCCTACAAGATCCCCCACGTGGCGGGGGAAAGTACGCGCTAAGGGCGCTACCCCGGCGGGCGCTTCCGACACGGGTGCCAACGGCGACTCGAGCGATTCTGCCAAAGACACGCAGGATCCTCGGGATCCTGGACCGTAACTGCTCGGAAAGTTCCGCGTGGCCCCACACACCGCCAGCTGCAAGTTCGCCACCACCTCGCACGCCTCCGCCAGATTCAGAATCCGGCACATGGTCAGCATGGGGTCTCTCCCCGCGCGAGTGGGGGGAGGTGCAGTCGGTGCTTCGCGCGGAAACGCCGTCGGTCAGCCAGGAGTCCGGCCAACAGAGAAACGCGGCGCGGAGAAGCCTGGGACCTGACCAGGGGTGCGGAACTGAGCCCTCCCCTCCCGCGCGGGCAGATATTCGCGCAGCGTCGGCGCGCGCAGGGGAGCCTTCTGGCCGGGGTCCGCGGCGAAGGGAGGACGGCTGGTCACCTCAATGTGGACGTGAGTCGGCTCCCCACTCGCCCGCGCCTGCCGCACCACTTCCGCAAACGCATTCGTGGCGCAATCAAGGGCAGGATCCTGCTGGCGACCATTACCGCCTCGCCCTCCGCCATTCCGCCGGCCTCGTCGGCCTCCGGAACCAGCCGAGTGCGGGCGCGAGGGGGACTGCTCGCGGCGACCCGAATCCCAGCGACGTCCGGGCGACCCCCTCCCCCGCGTCGCCGGAGATCGCCGCGGAGAGCGTTGCGCGGGGGATCGTGCTCGGGGTGAGCGCTGGCCTGCCCGACCACGAGGAGATGGGCGGCGAGGAGAGCGATGGCCTGCAGGGGACAGCTGATCGCCAGCGCCGTCCTGGTGATCTTCGCGACGCTCTGGGGAGCGGCGGCGAGGAGATTGCTGCCGCGGCTGCTGACGAGGCGGCGAACGCCCGTGCTCCTGACGCGGCTGACCGGCAGGCCGGTTTGAGGCAATCTGAGCGGGGACCCACGAGTACTCCGGCGTATGAGGCTGCGGAAGATGTCGAACAGGAAGTGACAGCCCGCGCTCCAGGCGGGGGACAGGCTCAGACGCAGAGGGGCGCGCTGCAGCAAGAGGACGAGGAGCAGCAGGCCCCTGCGCCCGGGTCGGGTCAAGCCGTGCGCTCTCTGCAGTACTCTCCTGCGCGCGATCGCGACCCTCGGTTGGGTCCATTACGCCGGAGCACAGAGCCACGGTCGCCAGCAGGGCGCCAAAGGCGAGGCCGTGGTTCTACCTCCGCGCCTCAGCCAGCACGCCGCGACGCAGCGGCAGGAACGACGCCGCGAGGTATCCGCGTGGCTAGAGGTGGGAGACGAGGCGGACGCAGAGGAGGCGTCACAGTTCAACGACGGGGGGCTAGTAGCTTCGCGAGGGCAGCTCACCGTATCCTGCGGGGGAGAGCTGGAGATGGAGAAGAATCGAGTGATGAAAACTCCGTGGTTGACCCACTTTTTAACCCTGAAAGAGAGGGGGGTTCTAGTCCCTCTCCTCAGGTGGAAGAGGCAGAGCAGCACGAGGAGTTGGATCAAAACCCAACACATAGCCGAGGCGCATCTGCAATTCGAATTGGGAGACAGATTCGAGTCGGGGGGGGAAACTGAGCCGCACAAATCGCAGATGGCACCCCATCCCGAACCAATCAGCAGGCCACCCGCCAGCCAATATTCAGTGCTGGCGACCTGGCGAAACGCCAGGACCTTTTCGCCAACGTCGCAACATGGGATCTCAACCCCCTTCGCGACAGCAGGCAACCACCACTCGCCCGTCACCCACCTCGCACACTTCGCGACTCTTTCGCTGCTTGCCTCCTCACCCCGTTGTTACACCTCGCCCAAGACCCTGACTCACCTGCGGGGTGGAGGCTGCTTATGTTCCTCCCGCGCATACTACTGCGCACCTCGTCAGCCAAGCGCCCAGATTGGTCGAAGGTTGGCGCCAGGCTAATTCAGTTCCGCCAGGGCCTCTGGCGGAACCTGTATGACGAGGCGGCTGACGCAGTATCCCAACCTCCCCAGCCCCGCCACGCGCCAGACACCACAGGCATCCTGGCAAGGGCTGAGGGATTGGCCAAACGAGGAAACCTTGCGAAATCTCTCCAATCCCTAACAGCCACGCCAGTCTCCCCCCCATCCACGGACGTGCTCCAAGCCCTCTCAGCTAGACACCCCCCTGCGCGCCAAGCCATCCCGGACTGGGTACGGGATTTCACCACAGACACAACCCCTACAATCGATCCACGCGATTTCAGACGCATCCTCGCTAAGTGCCCGAATGGAGTGGGCGCTGGCCCCTCTGGCACCACCTTTGAACACCTGAGGGACGCTGCCTTAGGAAACACAGACATTTTCCTACAGTTGCACGCTCTTACGAACACTGCGCCGGCCGGGAAACTTAGCACAGAAGCGGCAGAACTCCTCACAGCATCACGCTTACTTGCATTCGCCAAGCCACATGGGGGTACACGGCCGATAGCGGTGGGCGAATGCCTGCTACGGCTGGTCGCCTAAGCGGCATTATTCTTGGCGGCTGAGAAAGCACGGGAACACTTCGCTCCGCTCCAATTCGGCGTGGCGATAGCTGGAGGCATCGAAGCGGCAGTGCACACCGCCAGAACGTACCTGGAGGAGAATACAGGGGCAGTGGCGCTGCAGATCGACCTAGCGAACGCCTTTAACGTGGTCGAGCGAGCGGCGGTGTTCGAAGGCCTGAAGGGGACCACCCTGGAGTTCATGGTGCCCCTAGTGCGGCTGAGCTATGGCTCCCCCTCGGCACTACACCTCGACCACGCGTTTCACACTCCCCCCCTGCAATCCGCGCGTGGCGTTCGCCAAGGGGACCCGCTGGGACCCCTTCTCTTTGCCGCCAGCATCCACCCCTGCCTGGCAGCAGCGGCGGAAGCTCACCCAGGAGTCGTCGCGTGCTCGCGGGCGTTCTCTCACCTCACCAGCGCCCTGCTCTCCCTGGGGCTGGAGCACAACCCTGAGAAATGCGCGGCGTGGTCGGCTGCTCTCGTTGACCCCGCTTCCCTGCCCCAGCACGTCCCCTTCTCGGCTGACGGGATCCGCGTCCTGGGGAGCCCAATCGGACCGCAGTCAAGATGCGCGGCGATGGTACAGGAGCGCCTGTCAGCAGCAGCAGAGCCACTACCGCTCTTGTCTCAAATGGACCCGCAGCTGTGCATGCTCCTTCTCACATGGTGCGTGGGCCGCCGTGCCTCCTACCTCGTTCGGACGACGCCGCTGGACGTGCTGCCAGAGGATACTTGGTCGGCGTGGGGGGAACAGCTGCTGCACTCTTACCTGTCAGCTGCACACACGGCGATACCAAGGGAAGAGGAGGAGCGGGGGAGAATCTGGCGGCAAGCAGCCCTGCCCGTGACACTGGGCGGCCTCGGCATCACCAACCCAGCCACGGAAGGGGCGTTCTCGTACCTGGCCTCGGTCATCTCCAGTGCCCATCTGCTGCACTCATTCGGGGACACGGTGCACCCCGCCATCGCCCGTATGCTGCCACTGATGGATGCGGACGCGGACTCACCTTCGGCCCTGCCAAGGCGCCTAGCAGCGGCAGAGGCCGCGCTGCCCCCAGACGGACTAGAAGCGCTTCAGGTCGGCCGGCGCACCCCTGATGGTCCGAAGCTACAGCAGGCCTTGTCGCTGGCAGTCCATACAGCCCGTTACATCGAGCTGCTCGACGCCTCTCGAGAAATGCCCTTGAACCCTCTCTTTGGCCACACTCAACGCCTGCAGTCTCTTCTCGGCCCCGGGGCAGGAGATTGGCTGCTGGCCATCCCCCTGATCCCGGCTCTTCGCCTAGGCCCCTCGCAGCACTCCACTGCAGCCTCCTTCCGCCTAGGCCTCCCCCTTCCTGTCCCTCGGCGTTGCGACTGCCGCTACCGCACGACCTTCCCTGACCACCGCCTACCTAACCACCTCATGCGCTGTGAGAAAGGCGGGGGGAGGATTGCCACTCACCATGCCCTTCGAGACGAGTGTGCGAAGATTGCAGCAGAGGCAGGATACACGGTGCACAAGGAATCTACAGTGTACTCACCGGTCGAAAACCTCAAAGCGGATGTTTGCATCCGCCATCCCGACACCGGCGAGGTTCACATGTGCGACATCACCGTGACGGATTCGATCTCCCACCAGGATGAGTTCGCGCGGAAGGCGCCTGGGTGGGCTGCAAGGATGCAAGCCGCCAAGAAAGAAGACAAGTACGCGCGGCGGAACGCGTGGGTAGGCTTCCACGCCATGGCGGTTGAGACGTACGGCTACCCGTCCCCGGGGGTGCACGCCTTCCTCCGCAGCTGCGCTGAGCTCGCGGGCAAGCGGCGGTTCAACGCCGCTCCAAAGTCAAAGGAGGTGGCCAGGCTCCTCACGGAGTACCGGCAGCGCTGGAGTGTGACACTCCAGCGCGCCCAGGCCAACGCCCTTCGCGACAAGACCCACGAGGCCATTGCCGCAGATGAGCTTGGCCTGCAAGGCCCGTTTGGAAGCTTGGGTGAGGAGCAGCTGTACCAGCTGCTGGAAGACCCCACAGGCCAGTAGGGCCGGGGGAGAGAAGGGGTTGGGGAGGAAGGAGTAGTAGGGGTACCTTTGTGTGTTTGCTTGGTTGTTGCCTTGCCTGATTGCCGGTTGATTGCTTAGACTAGCTTAGTACCCATGTCTGTACCGCGATGATATTAATACGAAGGACCATTCGAGGTAGAAGAGATGCGAAGGAGGGACAAGTACATGCTAGTACAGGCTGGGCCAGTAGTACAAGGGAGGGACGCGGAGTAGGAGAGCAGGGAGAGTGCAATTTGAGCTGGAGTAGTAAGGTGCAAATCATTGTACGGTGATGTGGGGTGCATGCATTGCAATGTACCGTGTGCCTCTTTACAGTGTATTTTCGTTACAGTGTAACGAACACATGGCTGGTGTATAGTGCTCTGAAGCACACCACCTTATGACCCGTGCTGACTGCACCGCACATGATTTTCTTGCAGGTTTTGACACGTTGTATAATCTGAAGTGTATGCATATACATTGGTGCACACAGCTCAAGCATACAACCCTTGTTGTCTTTTGTTGCTCCATCAAAGCCTCAAAGATGTCACTGAACGGCTGGACGCCTCGAAGATGTCGATGGACGGCTGGTGGATGGTGCACACGACTGTGCGATCTCATGTCCACTGTGCAACACCATTCCAACATGCCATATTTGACTCCCTACCTCATCAAACGCCTCGAAGATGTCGATGGACGGCTGGTGGATGGTGCACACGACTGTGCGATCTCATGTCCACTGTGCAACACCATTCCAACATGCCATATTTGACTCCCTACCTCATCAAACGCCTCGAAGATGTCGATGGACGGCTGGTGGATGGTGCACACGACTGTGCGATCTCATGTCCACTGTGCAACACCATTCCAACATGCCATATTTGACTCCCTACCTCATCAAACGCCTCGAAGATGTCGATGGACGGCTGGTGGATGGTGCACACGACTGTGCGATCTCATGTCCACTGTGCAACACCATTCCAACATGCCATATTTGACTCCCTACCTCATCAAACGCCTCGAAGATGTCGATGGACGGCTGGTGGATGGTGCACACGACTGTGCGATCTCATGTCCACTGTGCAACACCATTCCAACATGCCATATTTGACTCCCTACCTCATCAAACGCCTCGAAGATGTCGATGGACGGCTGGTGGATGGTGCACACGACTGTGCGATCTCATGTCCACTGTGCAACACCATTCCAACATGCCATATTTGACTCCCTACCTCATCAAACGCCTCGAAGATGTCGATGGACGGCTGGTGGATGGTGCACACGACTGTGCGATCTCATGTCCACTGTGCAACACCATTCCAACATGCCATATTTGACTCCCTACCTCATCAAACGCCTCGAAGATGTCGATGGACGGCTGGTGGATGGTGCACACGACTGTGCGATCTCATGTCCACTGTGCAACACCATTCCAACATGCCATATTTGACTCCCTACCTCATCAAACGCCTCGAAGATGTCGATGGACGGCTGGTGGATGGTGCACACGACTGTGCGGCCTGTGTTGACTGTGTTGCGCACCGCCCTCATCACTATGGCCGCTGCCCTCGCATCCAGGCCTGTGATTGGATGAGAGGAAGGAGAGAAGGTTAAGAAGGTGACGGAAAGAGGTGAAAGTGCGAGGGAAAGTAATGAAACTTCGAGGAGGTGAGGTGGAAATTTGACGGAAAAAGGTGGGAGGTCAAGGGAAAGAGGTAAAAGTTTGACGCTGGATGCTGGAATTATTAGAATATTAATGCTGGGTGTGTGCTTGGCTGGGCAAAGAAAAACAAATTCCGGGCTGGAGAGAAAAACGTTGGGGAAAAGAGGTGCAACCAGGTTTCACTGTGTTGTGTTCTGCCAGGTTTCACTATTGCCAGAACACCTCAAAACATTGATGTGCTAAAAAGTAGAGAACATTTTAGCTGCCTCAAGGGTCAAAATCTTCTGAGGTGCCTAAAAAAAAAAACGTCTACAAAGAGGGCAACGGGTAAGAAAGAGGCTTCTGCCCAGTCCAACAGACCATCCTGCCCGGCTGAGGGGACGGTGGTACCTGAGAGGGAGTTGGTACCTGAGAGGGAGTTGGTACCTGAGAGGGAGGTGGTACCTGATGGGCGGGCATCACCTGAGGTGGGTATCACCTGAGGTGGGTATCACCTGAGGTGGGTATCACATGAGGTGGGTATCACCTGAGGTGGGTATCACCTGAGGTGGGTATCACCTGAGGTGGGTATCACCTGAGGTGGGTATCACCTGAGGTGGGTATCACCTGAGGTGGTTATCACCTGAGGTGGATATCACCTGAGGTGGGTATCACCTGAGGTGGGTATCACCTGAGGTGGGTATCACCAGAGGTGGGTATCACCTGAGGTGGTTATCACCTGAGGTGGGTATCACCTGAGGTGGTTATCACCTGAGGTGGGTATCACCTGAGGTGGGTTCGTCCAGGAAGATGATGGCAGGATTGGCAACGAGCTTGCCTGAACCAGGTGCTATGCACATTGAGGGAAGGCGTTACCTGAGGTGGGTATCACCTGAGGTGGGTTCATCCATGAAGATGATTGACGGGTTGGCTACGAGCTCCACTGCGATGGTCAGCCGCTTCCTCTGCTCCACCGACAGCCCGTCCTGCCCCGCCGTCCCCACCAGCGCTCCCTTCACCGCATCTAACTCCACCAGCTCCTCCACCTCCTCCACGAATTCCTGTTGGAGATGGGAGAGGGGAGAGGTGAAATGGGAGATGGGAGAGGTGAAATGGGAGATGGGAGAGGGGAAATGGGAGATGGGAGTTGGTAAAGTGGTATGGATACATGCTCCCTTCACCGGTTCTAACTCCACCAACCCCATCACCTCCTCCACGAATTCCTGTTGGGAGGGGAGAGGCGAGAGGGGAGGAGAGGAGAGGGGAGAGGGGAGAGGAGAGAGGAGAGAGGAGAGGAGAGGTATGGGCATTGTTACAAGGATGAGGAAATTGGCATGCTTGCAGACGCCCACCACAGTGCCCTTCACCGGCTTTAACTCCATCATCTCCATATTTCCATATCTCCATATTTCCATATTTCCATATTTCCATATTCCAGAGGGGTATGAGTATTTTTCTAATTTTGCATACGAGTTCCTGTTGGGAAGTCCAATGGAGCTCCAAACAGGAGCCATGACTCAACGTGGCAGCAGCTTTGAGCAAACAGATTGGTTTGTTTGGTTTGTGTAGGCTTGCTTGAAGAAACCCTTAGTGTAAGAAAAATTCGCACACACACCCCACCACTCATATTACCACTGCTGTCGACTCCCCATGATCACATATCGCAATCCGCCTAGGTTCTCACCAGGATGACATCCCTGTCGATCTCCTCGACACAACACCCTGCCACTCACCATGACCACTACCGCCGCCAACTCACCAGGATGACATCCCGGCCGATCTCCTCAGGCAGGCGCAGCCAGGCGGAGTAGAGCAGAGACTCATGCACGGTCACCTGGGGCGTGTGAATGTCCACCTGCTCACAATACCCCGACACCCTCAGAAACGTCTCCTGCACTTTCGGGTATCCAGACACGCGGATATCCCCTTCAATGTACCCCCCGGTCTTCCTCCCTGCCAGCACGTCCATTAGCGTGGTCTTCCCTGCCCCAGACACCCCCATCAGGGCGGTCAGCACTCCGGGACGAAACACGCCGGACACATTATGCAACAGCTGCAGCCGCTGGCCGGGCGGCGCGGCCTTGTCTTTTAGCTCGGCGGGCATGTCGACATAGTAGTTCACGTTGTGGAAGGAGAGGGTGAGCGGATCAAAGGGGAGGACCATGCCGTGCTGGCCTATATCCCCTCCACTCGCAGTCATGCCCGCTGCACCTTCACTCGCATCCCCATCGCTCAAGAATGAAACTGGTTTTCTCTGCCGCTGCTTCTCCTCTCCTCCAGCCTCTCCTCCTCTTGTGCCGCTACCTGCGCTCACCACCCCACTATCACTCGCGTCCCCATCACTCAAAAACGAAACCGCTTTCCTCTGCCGCTGTTTCTCTCCTCCGCCAGGGCTGCTAACTGCACTCACCACCCCACCGCCATCACTCGCGTCCCCATCGCTCAAAAACGAAGCTGTTTTCCGTTGCCGCTGCTTCTCCTCTCCTCCTGTGATACTAACTGTAAAAGAAGGGGGAAGAAAAAAGAATAGAGTAAATATATAGCACGGCTTTTTTTTTATGTCAGCAATTTTTCTGGATGAGCTTTAATTAAGTGCCAAGAGGCTGTGTCAGCCAGATATATCAAGATGAGGAAAAAAAAACTGTGACTTGCTGTAGGCACTGTGATGGATGGAACCTCACCTCTTGCAGGAAGTCAGCCACTCCCTTGCGGGCGGGCGGCGCAAACCCCATTTCCCGGAAGAATCCCAGCACCTCCTCCCTGGGCCCGTGGTACACGATCCGCCCCTCTGACATCAGCATGACGTCATCAAACAGCTCAAAGGTTTCGGGCGCGGGTTGCAGCAGGGAGATGAGGGTGGTGGTATTAGTTAAGTGCGTGAGGTTGCGCAGGCACCGGGTGATCTGGTAAGTGGTGGCGGAATCGAGACCGGTGGAAATCTCGTCCAATAGGAGGACTTGCTTTGCACCCAGGAGTGCTTCGGCGGTGGTAACCCGCTTTTTCTGCCCTCCGGAGACTCCTCGGCGCATGCTGTCTCCTAACATGGTATCAGCACACACGTCCAAACCGAGCATCTGCAGGACAAGTGGCAATGGGTGGAAGAGAATGGAGGAGGCTGCTGATGCTTGTCCCTAACATGGTATCAGCACACACGTCCAAACCGAGCATCTGCAGGACAAGTGGCAATGGGTGGAAGAGAATGGAGGAGGCGGCTGATGCTTGTCCCTACCATGGTATCAGCACACACGTCCAGGCCTAGCATCTGCAGGATAGGTGAACAGGAGGAGAATGGGTGGAAGAGAGAACAGAGGATGCTGGATTGTGCTTCGCTTTTTCAGCATCCTGGAAGAGGTATGAAAGGGTGGTCACAGGGACTACAGCTTGTTTCTAGATGTGCACAGACATAAACCGGCATGAACAGACAAGCAGAAAGACGCACAGACATGAACAGGCACGGATGCACAGATAGGCATGCGCGCACAGGCATACGCGTGTATGACATACACACACATGGACACACATCATGCACGCACATACACACATATATGCAAACACATGCACGCACATACACACATATATGCATACACATGCACGCACATACACACATATATGCAAACACATGCACGCACATACACACATATATGCAAACACATGCACGCACATACACACATATATGCAAACACATGCACGCACATACACACACATATGCATACACATGCACGCACATACACACACATATGCATACACATGCACGCACATACACACACATATGCATACACATGCACGCACATACACACACATATGCAAACACATGCACGCACATACACACACATATGCAAACACATGCACGCACATACACACACATATGCATACACATGCACGCACATACACACACATATGCATACACATGCACGCACATACACACACATATGCATACACATGCACGCACATACACACACATATGCATACACATGCACGCACATACACACACATATGCATACACATGCACGCACATACACACACATATGCATACACATGCACGCACATACACACATATATGCAAACACATGCACGCACATACACACATATATGCAAACACATGCACGCACATACACACATATATGCAAACACATGCACGCACATACACACATATATGCAAACACATGCACGCACATACACACATATATGCAAACACATGCACGCACATACACACACATATGCATACACATGCACGCACATACACACACATATGCATACACATGCACGCACATACACACACATATGCATACACATGCACGCACATACACACACATATGCATACACATGCACGCACATACACACACATATGCATACACATGCACGCACATACACACACATATGCAAACACATGCACGCACATACACACACATATGCATACACATGCACGCACATACACACACATATGCATACACATGCATGCACATACACACACATATGCATACACATGCACGCACATACACACACATATGCATACACATGCACGCACATACACACACATATGCATACACATGCACGCACATACACACACATATGCAAACACATGCACGCACATACACACACATATGCAAACACATGCACGCACATACACACACATATGGAAACACATGCACGCACATACACACACATATGCAAACACATGCACGCACATACACACACATATGCAAACACATGCACGCACATACACACACATATGCATACACATGCACGCACATACACACACATATGCAAACACATGCACGCACATACACACACATATGCAAACACATGCACGCACATACACACACATATGCATACACATGCACGCACATACACACACATATGCATACACATGCATGCACATACACATACATATGCATACACATGCACGCACATACACACACATATGCAAACACATGCACGCACATACACACACATATGCAAACACATGCACGCACATATACACACATATGCAAACACATGCACGCACATACACACATATATGCATACACATGCACGCACATACACACACATATGCAAACACATGCACGCACATACACACACATATGCATACACATGCACGCACATACACACACATATGCAAACACATGCACGCACATACACACACATATGCAAACACATGCACGCACATACACACACATATGTATACACATGCACGCACATACACACACATATGCATACACATGCACGCACATACACACACATATGCAAACACATGCACGCACATACACACACATATGCATACACATGCACGCACATACACACACATATGCATACACATGCATGCACATACACACACATATGCATACACATGCACGCACATACACACACATATGCAAACACATGTACGCACATACACACACATATGCAAACACATGCACGCACATATACACACATATGCAAACACATGCACGCACATACACACATATATGCATACACATGCACGCACATACACACACATATGCAAACACATGCACGCACATACACACACATATGCATACACATGCACGCACATACACACACATATGCAAACACATGCACGCACATACACACACATATGCAAACACATGCACGCACATACACACACATATGTATACACATGCACGCACATACACACACATATGCATACACATGCACGCACATACACACACATATGCAAACACATGCACGCACATACACACACATATGTATACACATGCACGCACATACACACATATATGCAAACACATGCACGCACATACACACATATATGCAAACACATGCACGCACATACACACATATATGCAAACACATGCACGCACATACACACATATATGCAAACACATGCACGCACATACACACACATATGCATACACATGCACGCACATACACACACATATGCATACACATGCACGCACATACACACACATATGCATACACATGCACGCACATACACACACATATGCAAACACATGCACGCACATACACACACATATGCAAACACATGCACGCACATACACACACATATGCATACACATGCACGCACATACACACACATATGCATACACATGCACGCACATACACACACATATGCATACACATGCACGCACATACACACACATATGCATACACATGCACGCACATACACACACATATGCATACACATGCACGCACATACACACACATATGCATACACATGCACGCACATACACACATATATGCAAACACATGCACGCACATACACACATATATGCAAACACATGCACGCACATACACACATATATGCAAACACATGCACGCACATACACACATATATGCAAACACATGCACGCACATACACACATATATGCAAACACATGCACGCACATACACACACATATGCATACACATGCACGCACATACACACACATATGCATACACATGCACGCACATACACACACATATGCATACACATGCACGCACATACACACACATATGCATACACATGCACGCACATACACACACATATGCATACACATGCACGCACATACACACACATATGCAAACACATGCACGCACATACACACACATATGCATACACATGCACGCACATACACACACATATGCATACACATGCATGCACATACACACACATATGCATACACATGCACGCACATACACACACATATGCATACACATGCACGCATATACACACACATATGCATACACATGCACGCACATACACACACATATGCAAACACATGCACGCACATACACACACATATGCAAACACATGCACGCACATACACACACATATGGAAACACATGCACGCACATACACACACATATGCAAACACATGCACGCACATACACACACATATGCAAACACATGCACGCACATACACACACATATGCATACACATGCACGCACATACACACACATATGCAAACACATGCACGCACATACACACACATATGCATACACATGCACGCACATACACACACATATGCATACACATGCACGCACATACACACACATATGCATACACATGCATGCACATACACATACATATGCATACACATGCACGCACATACACACACATATGCAAACACATGCACGCACATATACACACATATGCAAACACATGCACGCACATACACACATATATGCATACACATGCACGCACATACACACACATATGCATACACATGCACGCACATACACACACATATGCAAACACATGCACACACATACACACACATATGTATACACATGCACGCACATACACACACATATGCATACACATGCACGCACATACACACACATATGCAAACACATGCACGCACATACACACACATATGTATACACATGCACGCACATACACACATATATGCATACACATGCACGCACATACACACATATATGCAAACACATGCACGCACATACACACATATATGCAAACACATGCACGCACATACACACATATATGCAAACACATGCACGCACATACACACACATATGCATACACATGCACGCACATACACACACATATGCATACACATGCACGCACATACACACACATATGCATACACATGCACGCACATACACACACATATGCATACACATGCACGCACATACACACACATATGCATACACATGCATGCACATACACACACATATGCATACACATGCACGCACATACACACACATATGCATACACATGCACGCACATACACACACATATGCATACACATGCACGCACATACACACACATATGCAAACACATGCACGCACATACACACACATATGCAAACACATGCACGCACATACACACACATATGGAAACACATGCACGCACATACACACACATATGCAAACACATGCACGCACATACACACACATATGCAAACACATGCACGCACATACACACACATATGCATACACATGCACGCACATACACACACATATGCAAACACATGCACGCACATACACACACATATGCAAACACATGCACGCACATACACACACATATGC